GGGTAAGCTACAGAGTCAGAGGGGCCAGGCTCGGCCTCAAAGCCATCTGGGGCCTGGGCCAGGTTAGACCTGGAATGGATCCTTAGGAAAATTCCTGAATTTAATAATCCACAAGCAGCAACATTCCCTTCCTGAAAGGCCAACCCATCCTCGCTCTTCTTGGAATCGTTTAAAATGATGGAACAATAATATTCAGAAAACAGCTGCACATGAAGAGGGAGAAGAGTGCCGTGCATTGGAAATGCACGTTCCCCCCAGTTTATTGCTATTACAAGCAGCTCCGTTCCCAAACCGTGTCCTCACAGGCAGCTCTCCCCCAGACACGGCCACAGGCACTGCCGATGCCCCGTGAGCTCTCAGCTCCCAGCCCCACGTACGAGCGAGACGGCCCTCGAGACCGCCTGGCCTCCACCCACGAATAGGACGCAGGCCCAGAGAGGGCAGCCACGTGTCTGAGGACACACAGCAGCCCAGCGACTGGGGGTGCCTCTGAGGGGTGTCTCTGACCCGAGGCCACTGTTTCTATCCAGGCTACTCCACTGGCCTCGGGCAGACAGTGGCAGGACAGATGCTACAATGACCCGCCTCTGACCTGCGCTCCAGGAGACGAAACAGAGCTGAAGCCCTCACCCTGCAGCACCTGAGGCTTCTTCTAAAGGGACCAGGTCTGCGGGGAGTACAAACCACCACCAAAAGGCTCGTGTCCACCCTCGTGTCTGCGGGGCAGCTGCCAGGCCCGCCTGAACACCAGCTCCAGCTTGCTGCCTGTGCTCTGTCCCCTGGGACACGACCCTGAAGCTGCAGGACCAGGCCCCGTGTCCACCCTCGTGTCTGCGGGGCAGCTGCCAGGCCCGCCTCGAGCACCAGCTCCAGCTTGCTGCCTGTGCTGTCCCCTGGGACACGACCCTGAAGCTACAGGACCAGGCCTACCTCCGTGCCTCCTGCTCCCGGCCTGAGCGGGGCTGAAAGTTTGCTGAAGTCAATGAGTGGTGTCCAAACCATCTCCAGGACAGCAACAGATGACAGGGGACACTTGGAGAGCTGGCTGCCTCCCCTCCCCTCGCGGTCCTTTTGCACGGCCCCAGCCCTCCGCCTCCACCCTCGGCGCCCGTAATAACTCAACACGCTTCGCTCTCCGGGCCAGGAAACCAAAGGAGGTGGGAGTGGGCAGAACATATTTCTCCAGCTCTTAAGGATCCCATTTGACAGTTAAATAATAACGAGATGCCTTTAAGCGCTTGCAGATGATGCGTTGCGCCATTCCCGGAGAAGGCGAGTCATTTAGCAGGCTCGTGGAATGGAGTGCTCCGGCCACAGTCTGAGGGGCCGGGGCGGGGAGGGGGGGACTGCAGAGCGCTGGCCTAGCCTCATGGGGGTCACAGGGCCTGGGAGCCTCATCCCACTGGCAGGACCTGTGTCTCCCTTGGGCTCCCCAGCACCCTGGCTGTGTGCCAGCCTCCCCATGCCCAGGGTCACTAACTAGCCGGATGATGCCAGCAGTGCCCGGCTCCGGCCAGCCTCCGGAGGCAGGGGTCCTGGCGGGGCTGTGGAGGGAGAATGGGACCCTTGTCCACACCCACTCCTAGAGCCAAGCGCCTGCCAGCGATGCCATCTCAGCGGTGGGGCTCGCCTCTGCCAGCCCTTGGCCAGGAGGCTGCGGCTGGGACCCCACTCATCCTCAGCAAAACGTTTGTTTTAAAAAATATACATATTTGTATTGCTTTCCGAGAGGAAGGGAGAAGGAGAAAGAGAAACAGCAATGAGGAGGGAAAATCATTGACCGGCTGCCTCCTGCACGACCCCCACTGGGGATCGAGCCCACAACCCAGGCATGTGCCCTGACCGGGAATCAAAGTGTGACCTCCTGGTTCCTAGGTGGACACTCAACCACTGAGCTATGCCGGCCGGGCCAAAATGGTTTCTGAAATCACACAACTTAGGCCTCACCGCACATCCCTTTTCCAATGTGCTCTCCCCACTGGACCCACACAAGGTCCCACTTCAGAGACAAGAACACCAAGGCCCAGAGAGGGAGGTGACCGGCTCAGACGCCACAGCGGGAAGGTGGGAGGCGGGGCCCAGGTCTGCGGGTCTCCAGCGCCTTCCCCTCCGCCCGCGGAGAAGGCCAGACTGTGGTCCCGCAAGTGCCTCCTGGGCTTTCCCCACAGCCTCCATCTCGGCGGCGGCCGGCTGGTCTGTCCCCTGGAGGGGGCTGTGCGGATCCTGGCTCGGGGACCGGAAGTGGCTCAGCCGAGGCCTGTGGCCACCAAGTGGCAGTGCCCGCGGGCAGGCTCTGGGGTTGGACGGAAGCTCCCACCGCAGGGCTCTGGGCTCACAGAGATGCGGGACCCCACGCTGCAGTGGGCGCCAGAGGACAGCCGCCTGTGTAGGGGCCGGGTGATGCCTGCCACGGTGTGACGTGGGTGAGGGGGGAGAGAACGGGGCCCAGGTGGTCCTGCCCTTGGAGAGCCGGGGTGCATATTAACATGGTGGTTCAGATAGAGTCAGAGGGGCTGGGTTATACGGGGGTTCACTCCAGGAAGTGGTGCCCTGGGCTACTCTGAGTTTGCTTTCCCTGGGACACCCCGAGCCCTCTAGGGACCCTCCCATCTGCTTTCCTCAATGACTG